CTAAATTATCACAACTAAGTATTAAAAAAATACATTTTTAATGTCTACATGAAGAAGTAAAAAATTGTATTAGTATTATTTCATAAATTAATTATTTTTTTCTTTATAATGTCTTTTAATGGATGATGACAAAAAGATGAATAATTTTGCTCCATTGTCAAGATATACACTTTATAGTAATACCAATAATTGCGATATGAAATAAAAATTATCAAAAAAATAATATTATTAAATAAAGTTTTTTTTAATACAGTCCGTTTTTGTGTAATTAAGTTGTATATGATTATAGTTATCTGATAATAATTCGAACATTTACTTATTGCAAAATATTTTTGCAAACAAAAAGTTTAAATAATGCGTCTTAAATGTAGAATTATTTATTATTAAATCTATTTATACTTATTTATATTTTTGTTTAAATAGTTTAGAAGTACTGTTCATTTTAAAGAGTTTTTTTCATTAATAAATTAAATATTTCTATAGACTTAAATTCAACCAATCCAATTCTCATTAGTTCATCCAGCCATATTCTATTTTATACACATTTATCACATCAAAAGCACTAAAATGAATAATAACTGCTCCCTTATAATAATTTTTAAACCATTTTTCGTATCACAATTAACGCAATTCATTTCGCTCTAGTATGAACAAGATAATAATAATAATGTGAAATTCATAACAATCAAATATGTTTTTGCAAAAGAAGCTTGAAAATGGCTATGCGGTGTACAGTATTTGAAGAATGGTTTTGCAGAAGTAATATATGTTTGTATATATTATGTATATATCACAGCCCATCAATAACTACTAGACGAAGTGCCATCTTTGCGTCGTTCATTTCTTCGTCACACCTATGACTAGAAAACTTTAAAATTTGATAAAGCGACTAGATAAATACACTTTAATTCCCGTATTCCCATGTTTTATTACCAATTATTGTATCAATGCTAAGAGTCTAAAGCTTATAATCAGTAAATTTATGTCATATTAACTGATACCAATTTTTACTAAAATAATAATGAATAATCTTTATTTCGATTTTTTACTTTTAAATAATAACTACTTGAAAAAGATGCATGCTTTGCATGAAATTAAGACAAAATTATATTTTACATATTAACTTGCACTTATTAAAAGGAGCAATACACATTAAAAAAATAATTACTTTGTGTATATCCCGGAAAAGCTAAAAAGAAAGAAAAAACAATTAAAATTAATGCGCAGTAGTGTATATATATACACTACCACTCATTAATTTTTTTTCCTTCTTAGCTTTTCCGGGATATACACAAAGTAATTATTTTTTGTATGTATATTTCTTCTTTTATTAAGTGTAAATTAATATGTAAAATATAATTTTGTCTTAAATCTAACTTTAGTTTAAGATTCCTTCCTCACAAGCAATTGCCCCTTACACACTTGCATTTTGTACATGCATAGCCCTAAAACTTAGTGTTGTTAACCACACGCGAAAAAAGTTAACTTTTTACTATTTTTCACAACTGGTGATTGATAAAGAAATAAATGGATGCAATAGTTATGTGAATGTTGCATTTAAGCACTGTATTTTACATATTTTTTGGTGAAAAAAAGGAACTTTGGTAGGAAATTTTTAAAAACGAAACGGTGTCTTTAGCATATGCTGGAAGTATGTACACACGAATATATTTTGACAAAAAACATTTGAACAAAAATTGACTCTTGTCATTATGAATTATAAATTCCCAAAACAATATAACATTTATAAAATTTATATGTACATAAATATTTTAGGAATTGACTTAGTTTTAAAGTCCAATTTATCTAAGTCATAGATAATATGGTGGTATTAGTTAATATGACGTATACCTATTTTGATTTCTAATGTTTTCGCGATGCCAAATATTTATTGACAAATTGATCGATTTTTTTCGAAAAAAATTCACAGTACATTTAAGTGTACAAATTGCTCTAAATCGTTAAATAAAGTTTTTTTTTTTAAAATTTCATTAGGACAATATCAGAATTAATATTATGATTTGTACATTTTAAAAACTTAAAAAAAAAAAATAAAATTTAATTTTTTGGAAAAAAAAATATTTGTAAATTAGTATGTTTTATTATCGGTGGCGAGTTACTGGTAAATAAGCTCTGTTCAAATAATTTTATCACAATAGATAAATTATATAATATTTTCTATCACGCGGAAAACTTAACATTGTTTAGTTTTAAATAAGTTTTTTTTAGCATTAGTTAGCAATCTAAGCTTTGTAACTTTTTTTAAAAAAAGGAACACTGATTATTTTATCATTTGTATTCAATATGATTCAAATAAGAAATATCTAGAAAGTACTTATAACAACAAAACTATAAGTAAAAAATAAAATTGTACAAATCAGCAAAATAAGTAATACGAATAATATTGCAAAATTATGCAACAATTTTGCAAGTAAAATTTTAAGATTATTTTATCATACAGTCTTACAACACTAAGCACCTTAATTATATCCAATTTGCAATTTACAAAGGCACAGCTACTAGATAAATTTAAAAGTATACAAGATGTTATGAATCCCAAATTCTCCATTTTATATTTAACACTTTATTGGCATGAGTACAATGTATACAATTTTTGATTACTCAGCAATTACTTGACATATAGTACTGATGAAGAAAAACAAAAAAACATTACTAATGAATAAATAAAAAGTGATTTGAACTTTTACGAAATGAATTATTTTAAGATGGTCTATAATATATCTAAACAAAATAAACTATTTTAATTTAAAATATTTTTGCTTATAAAATAATTATTCTTTTTGTGAAAATGTAATTTTTTTTAGACATTAGTAAAAAGATATACATTTACGTGATAAAACCATTTCGTTTACTAATACTTAATACGTAGTAAAAGTATTTTAGTTCTAGTAAAAAGAAATATTTCAAAAATTAAAATCAGGAGTCTCCAAACTTTTTAGCCAGATATCAACATTTTCAAGGGCTAAAAATTAGATTATAAGAGTAAAAGAATCGCTTATCCGAAGATAAAAAAATAACTGATAATTACTCATATATTTGTGACTATTCGATCCCCTTCTCTCTCCTCTTTCAAGACATTTTGAGTATATTTGCGCATCAGCTAGTTTGTATATCTCCATATTTTGCGGTTTTGCCAGCAAGTAAAAAATATTGATGGAGCATTGGTATGTCAATTATTTTATGTTTTAGAGAAGATTTTATCTCGCTAAATTATTATTCGTTCGTTTACTATGCGTATGCGTTTCTACGAATCATTGTTTTGAAAAGTTCACTCATATTGTTAATTTTAAAATATTAGCAAAATAAGATAAAAAATGGGTTAGATCAACACCTTTTAGAAGAGAGAAGACCTCAGCACGGATCAATTTAGTAGTCCAATGTAACAAACACAAACTACGCAGTGGAGGAAAAAAAGACGTCACCACGTTCGGGCTACTAAGCAGTGTAGTGGAGGTTATTATGAAAGATGTCATTACGTTTAGACTACTAAATGATCAAATTTATTGTTTATGGTAACCCGTGCTGAGGCTTTCTCTCCTCTAGGAGATTATTGGTTAGATCAACATTTCCTTGAATACAGAAGGCCTTCGCACGAGTTAACATAAACGAGAAATCGAATTCTTAGAAGACCAAACGTTGCGAATTCTTATTTTTCACCCGCTGCGCAGTCTATGCTTGTTCCTTCCGATTATTAAAATTATGCGAGCAAAGGCCTTCTCTCTAAAGGCTTCTACAACATTAGGGAAGCAGAAATATGAGATTTGGCCCACTTAATTTAGTTTGGAGACCACGGATTTAGATATCCATTAGATAATTCAGATAAATTACCTATTATGAATATCCTGAAACATAAATAAAATAATTTAGCATATCTTAGAAATTTGTTTTGCAACATGAGAATTTGGGTTTTTGATTGTGCAGTATTTTTCCTATATAGTAAGTATTATGTACGACGGAAATTGTTTTTCCAAAAAAGGTAAAATATTTACACATGAGAAATATTTAAAAAATACCATATTTATTTAATAAGTCTACTTTTGGAAGAAATAGTTGTAATACGTGTGAAAAAGTATTCAATTGAATAGAATAATCGTCGCTTATACTTTGATAATAAGGTTAATTTATGCTTTGTTTAAATTTAATTGGATTTTGTTAATTGCAAGTAACAGTCCTTCTCCCTTACAGAAAAAAAAATGAGATAGACTGGTAACATATAACAATATTTTCGCTTTCTTCTTACCTCAATCCATTACCAGTGAATATTCCTATTAAGTGCTTACATATAAAAAATAAGAAAGCTGGGTAGGAAAGTTTAGAGATTAAAATGGTGTGGGAGTATTTAAAACAATTGAAATGTACAGAAATCTCGAACATCTAGGTACGCATTATATGCATTCAGGTGTCACTGAATTTATCGATTGAAAGTCACTTTAAATTGAAGATGACTTGTTGCGCTTGATATATTTACATGTATGTTAATCATTAATCTAAATATTATTTGTGCAGTTACGTGAATAAAAATGTACTTATAATAAAAAATAAATAATTTTATTTTAAAAATTTAAGCTTTACTTTTCTATTTGTTTAAAATTTTTTTTTAAAATTGAAATAAAGTTTTTCATTTGAAAAAAAGTATTTAAAAATATTTATCTATATTTTTCTTTCTTTATTTACTTAGATCCATTACAAAAAAAAACTATTATTTTTCAAAAAAAAAAAAAAAAAAAAAAAAAAAAAAANAAAAAAAAAACTGTAACATTTCTAGAGTAGCTGTATAGAGTAATGAAAATTTAAAGAAAGGTATAAAGAAGCTTTTTTAGTTCAAAATATTAAGAAAAAAAATTTGAAATTATTAAGTAAATTTTCTTATTACTTCTTATTTTAATTCAAAAAATAAAATAATATATTATATCAAAAAATAAAATGATATATAAAAATAAAATAAATATTTTTCTCTCAGATTAAAAAATTGAAAATTCCTTACTAAATTTTATAATTAGATTTTTAATTCATAAGTTCAAATAAAAAAAAACAATAAATTTTTCAATTCAATAAAAATTAAAAGTAAGTTGAGTTTCCATCAAGAATAGAACTTGGTATCTGCTGAACTAATATCCTAATCACTGCACCACGCACAACAAATTTAAAGAACAGTTTCTTATTCTTAAATTAAATGAGTTCAATTTGAGAGTGAATAGCTTTTAAATACAGGGGAAGCAAAGTTTAAAGATTCATATTTTTATTGCTTCGTATGTTTGACCAAACTTTTTTTTACGGTAAGAAATTTGTTTTGAAGAAAAAACAAATTCGCAGAAACTTTTAACATTTGAATTTTACAAAATATTACTAGATTTAAACTCAAAATATTTGAAGATTTAAATAACTAAAGATTTTTGTTGAGATCATCCGTAAAGCAACAACTCTATCACTTTTATTTACGAAAATCGAATATTTACTTATAAAAATATGCTTTCCCCTAAAATTATGACATCATAATAGAAGTTTTTGAAAGTATTTAAAGATTTTTTAACATTCAACTTAAATGTTAGCAAAGAACTTTTGCCGCAAAAAGAACTCGAAGCCCATCCTCATAATTTTGCTTAAATATTTAAGCGGTGTAGTTTTATTCATTACGAAATTGAATATTCATTTGCAGAGATTAAACGTTGAAATTTCTGATGAAAATAATATTTTAATCACTCAATTAATAATAATATTAATTATTGATATAAAATGTGTGGGATTTTAATCTTAAACACGCACCAAGCAAAAAAAAATGGATTTAAAAACTACCGGAATATGGTAAAATTTATTGTAATTCTGGCTCTATAATCAAAAGGATCAGTAATCATTACCGAGTGCTTTGGTGAAATTAACAATAAAACATAGCTTTACAATATGTGATAAAACTTGGTTAATAAGGTAAAATTTGGTAATTTTATCATGATACCTTAGAACATGGGAAAAAATATTTATTCGTTTAAAATTACTTTTCAATTTTATATTTTACTAAATGTATGGTAATAAAAACTGTAATTTTCCGAACAAACATTTCCAGTAAACCGTTGCTACATGAACAGAAAAAGTACGAAATGAATGTTTTAAATACTGTACAATTTGGTTTCATTAACCAGAATTAGGATAAGTTTTACCAGAAATGTCATTACCTTTCAGCATGGTAATTTTACCAGAATTTTTTTCTCCATGCGCATTTAAATTTTTCTCTTAAATGTAAAAAAAAGAAGAAAAAAAACATGAAAAAATCTTCAATAATAAGTCAGGGACACCTGTTGCTGGCGTACTTCAACTGGCACGTTTATAAGTTATGGGAGAAACAAGATATAGGACAGTACAATTATCCAGAAAGGGTATTGTTATGCTTATTTTTCACTCTGGTTTTTAAGATCTAGGAGATTTGCGTTATCAAGACAAAATGATTAGTATATTAATTATTTTCTTATTACTTATTAGCATTTTCTTAAACACAATTACAACTGATTTAAGCGAAATGTATCTTTAAGATTCCATTGTGATCGCGGCCGGCATATCTGTTGCTCCTCCATTGGCGTTGATCAGCTTCTCTGCAATTTCTGTTGCAACCCCTTCAGGTTCGCCTTCGTCTCCAGACGGCAATGGGCTCTGAAAAAGCAAAGTAAAAAAAATTATATTTTTTATTCCTGTTAAGCTTTATTTTAATTTCAAAATACTTTTTTAATTTCACATTAGTAAATATTTTGTTTTGTAAGAAATAACCGTTACCGCATAAGAGCATTCACAATATATTTTTAGAAAATACTGTCCTTTCTTTCTATTTATTGATTTCCCAATTTCTTTTGAAACACTGAAAAAAAAAAGTATGGTCAAAACTACTAGAATATGGTAAAATTTACCATCTTTCGGGCTCTAATGGAACACAAAGAAGCTCGGTAATTTATTCCGAAAGCTATATTTAGTAAAATTAACAATAAAATATGATTTCATACAATGTTATAAAATTTGGTAATTTTATCATGATACCTTAGATCATGGTAGAAAACCATTTATTCGGTTAAATTTACATTTCAGTTTTTTTATATGTATGCATTTAAAAGTTTTTTATTTAAACGTATGGTAATAAGAACTACGCTTTTGAAAACCAGAAGTTTTGGTAAACCATTATCATATGGAAAAAAAAACTACCAAATGAATCATATGAATACTGCATATTTTTTTTAAAAATCAGAGGTATGATGTTTTTTAACCAGAAATGTCATTACCGTGCAATCCGGTAATTTTAAATTTTTTTTCCCTAATCATTACCATTTAAATGGAAAAATTATCAAATAAATCATTTAAATACAGTAGACTTTTTTTTTTTTTTTTACCAGGAAAGCCATTGGTTAATTTTACTAGAATTTTTTTCTACATGTATGGCGATACGAAATTATCAGAACAGAGAAGAGATAAAAAAAAATTAACCATGAGACCATATCGTTTATTATGTTTAAAATTTTCATCTAATATCTTAATTTTGGCCGGGATAGCCTGGTCGGTAGGGCGCTGGGCCCATGACCAAGAGTTCGTGGGTTCGATCCCCGACTGCCGACGACTTCCCGTGTAGTAAATGGTGACTGATACACGTTAAATCTGCCGAGTCGCAAAGTCCTCCATATTCCCATAACAAATCAATACCTCTGGGGGTACTGATCCAGGAGTTTCCTTGTCTTCTGGATTGGTTAAAAACCTACTCATGGATAAAGATCTTCACTAATAGATAAAATTTTCAGAGGTAAATTTTCAAATAAATTTTTTGAAGGCAAAAAATACTTATAACTTCTTTCCATATGTTTTTTTTAAATTAAAAAATGATATGATATTAGATTAGAGAAGGTTTTAATGGTCAAAATAAGCACATGAAATAAAAATACTCACAGAATATACGCGAAATTTTTTTTTTCGTTTCTAACTTTTGACACAAAATAAAACAATATTCTTTGATATTCTTTTCTTGTTTTGGTGCATCTTCCTTGTTTGATATAACTTCCTTGCATAGACTTAAGTTTAATTATTTGTTTTTGTTTTTCTTAAAAAAAGAGTAATCTTCAAAAATATACACTAAAAAAAGTACCTTTTCTTTCAGTTTCAGAAAATACTTTTCTTTAACGACGATTTGAAACTGCTTTTGTAAACTACCATTGTCATGAACAATAGTCTTTGAATATAGATTTATGGCATGGAAATATATATGCTTTGTTGTTTGTCACGTTCGCTACTGCTTTCTTTTGTTGCAAGTCACACAATAAAAAGTATACAAGTTATTTTAAAAAAAAGATTAGTAACGATCCTCTGCTACAAGAGGTTTAAGAAATGTTTTCATTGCCTCATGTTTTTTTTATGGAAGAATGCACAAAAACAATTTTTCAATTCGTTTCTGTCATTTAGAATTCTATGGCACTATTTTTTATTTTCTTTAAAAAAATCCAACTATTTTGCCTTGAAACTATAATGTTTCACAGAATTTAGAATTATGCATTATGGCTTATTTACCTTTCCAATATTAAAGAGCATTTTAAAATATTTTCATCTCACAATGCACTGACTTGAAATTATAGATAAAAAATTTGTAAGAGGGGAAGAGACCAGCATGCTTACACTGAAACAAGTTACAGATCAAAGTACGGGTACTTTGAGTTCATCATATGTAGAATCCATTTTATTATAAAATCTGAAAAATATTTTTCCGTAATTTTTGCAAGAAGATTTATATAATTATAGTGATTCAGTGATTTTATAGTAATTTCAACTGTAAAAAATTTGGTATATGATTTTTTTGTTCCGTAACATGTTCCGGTAAAAATGGATTTTACGCTAAGTAATACCGGCACCGGTACTGTTTTTTGGAATTTTATCTGAAATATTTTCTACTAAAAAATAACGAAAATTATTTTTAGCTAAAAATAATAATCGATGCACTAACTTTTTCTATGCACTTATAATCATGCTAGATTTCCAAATTAATTTTGAGAATAAAAAGCTTTATATTTCATGGAAATTCAAATTCATTTACTGTTTTGGAACAGTGAGTAGTGTTCTTAAATTGTTTTGAAAAAAAATACTATTAACTATATGTATAGAGCCTAAAAGCAGGGTTCACTCAGATTAAGCCCCACTGTTTTTAAGTACAGTTTCATTTACAAAGCATGTAAGCAAAATATTAAATAAAATATGAAATATATTAGCTATAATATATAATATATTAAATAAAAAATATTAAATAAAGTGTAAAATATATAAAATATAATATATCATATTAAATATAAAAATTTAACAAAAATTTAGTCAGCACACAGTCTTTTGTGTTTAATTATTGTGATTACGCTTATAGGCATAACATATTATGTATGAAACTTATTATGTATTTTTGTTAATTAAAATTATATTTTAGAGATTCTATCTTGGAACACGAGGAAAAAATTCTAGTAAAATTAACACAGCTTATGGTGATGACATTTCTGATAAATTAAAAACAATTCTGGCTTATCAAACCAAAATATACGATATCTGAGCCATTCGTATGACGATTTTCCGTTCACACGGTAAAGGCTTATCAGAACTAGTTTTCAAAGTTACAGTTCTTAACACCACACACTTGATAAAAAAAACACAGAAATGAAAAGTAAATTTAACAGAATAAATGCACTAAAGTATGATGATTAAATATCAACTTTTAGAACAAATTTTACATATATATATA